ATAGGTACCCGCGAAGTTCATGGATCGGCGCTGGACCCCCCCCCCCCCTGGCGCGCCGCCAGTGCCGATCCAAGAAATCCGCGCGGAGCTCCGAAAATGTATACGTCTGTGCAATTCTCACGGCGACGACACCATTTCTCAATGCTATCAAGCAGTTAGTCCGCAGCCGTGACGTGCGTCGGGCTCTCTGCCTTCTGCACCTGGCGCCGTCTCCTGCGAAGCAATTTTTTCGGGCGCCCCCTCTGACGCGCCGCGCCCACCACACGTCAAGTGATGGCTCGAAGCCCCCGTGAAGTGCTCCATCGAACACGACAGTGAGGCAAACGACAAGACTCCTGCTGCGGGGGGGGGGCACTTTCGGCGGCGAGCAGGAGCCCCAGTCGCGCCTGGGTTCTCCCCAGGTGGCGCAGGCTGACTGCACCCCCTCCCGCCTGCGAGCCGCAGCCCCCGACCCGGGCCGAAGGAAAACAAGCCTCCGATGGCCGCGCCCGGCCGCCCTCGCGGGCGGGCGCACGCAAGGCGGCGGCGCTGCAGCGCAGAGAGGAGACGCGAAGAAATGGGGAGGAGGAGGAGGAGGAGCAGCAGGAGGAGGAGGAAGAGGAGGAGGACGAGGACGAGGAGGAGGAAGAGGACGAGGACGAAGGTGGAAACGACCGCTGCGCACAACGCGCGGCGAGAGCGCACGGGGCGAGGACGCGGCCGTGGGGCGTGAGCCACCAGACCCCGCCGTCAAGCGCGCGCGCGCGCGCGCCCGCGCCGTACCCGGAGGGAGGCCTGTCTGCGGTCTCGGCCCCTCTGGTGTCGAGAGATCGAGCCCCGAGGCGCGAGATGAGCCATTGTAAGCTGGACGGCCCGAGGTCCTCATATGTGGGGCCTCCAGAAGCCCCCGAGTCCTGCGGGAATCCCACCAGCCCTCTGGGCGTCGGTGGTTTAGGGAGTTTCCTCCTTCACCCCTCCTTCTTCCCCTTCGGGGAGGGGTTTACCCCTCCCCCTTATCCCTTCCCCACGGACATGGACAGGGGGGGTCCGCGAGGTGTCGGAGCGTCCAAAAAGGCCTCGGCGAGGAAGCCAAAATCATTGGTTTTACTGAGGTTTTGCCCCCATGTTGGCCTCCTGAGGGGGGGGGGGGGGGGGCCTAATTAGTCACCCCCCCTCCCGTGATCGATCTTACCCAAGATGGCCCAAAGATGGCCCCCAAGGCTCCCAAGGGTGCCCCAAGAGGGCCAAGAGGTGGCCAGGAAGCCCCATGCCCCCAAGAGGCTCCCAAGAGACCCCCTAAGAGGCCCCCAAGAGACCCCCCCGAGGCACCCAAGATGCTCCAAGAGGCCTCGGCGAGAATGCCAAATCATTGATTGCACTTGGGTTTTAGCCACCGATTGGCCTCTTGGGGGGCACTGATTAAGATGACTCCAAGAGCGCATGGGAGAGCCCAAGATGACCTCCAAGATGGCTCAAGATATCCCAAGATGTCTCATAATGGCTCCCACGATGCTCCAAGATGCCCCAAGACCGTTCCAAGTGGCCAAACAGCTCCCCCAGGAGGCCCCGAAGAGGCCAAAACCTTAGAAAATTGTATGTGTTTGGCGTTCTCGCCTTCTCGCTTCCGATGGCCATCCGAGGCCTCAAGATGGCTCCAAGATGGCCCAAGAGGGCTCCAAGAGAGGCTCCAGAGAGCCCCAAGACGGCCCCATGAGCGCCTAAGAGCGCCCCAAGAGCGCCCCAAGAGGCGATTGTTTGGGCTCCCGAGGGGCAACGCTAACTAATGCTCGCTTCTTGTTTAATCGATGTCCCCCAAGATGGCCCCAAGAGCGCTCCCAAGGCTCCCAAGAGCGCTTTAAGAGGACCCCAAGAGGCGCCCAGGAGGCCCCAACAGGCGCCCAAGAGGCCTCCAAGATGCTCCCAAGAGACCCCCAAGAGGCCCCAAGAAGCTCTCCGAGGCACCCAAGACGCTCCAAGAGGCCTCCACTGGGGGGCCCTTCCTCTGTGTGCTGCCCACTTCCCTGATCGAGGCAATTCCTCTGGGCCTCGTTTCTGGATGGGCTGGTGGGGGTACTTTTTGATTCGCGGCCCGCAAGGAGAAGTCCAGAGGGCGGTATGACTGGTGGGGTTACTTTTTAAAAAAACAGCCGCAGGCGGAAGCGCCAGCGGCGGGCGGTCACGGTCGGGCTGCGGCCGCGACAAGGGGGCGGGCGCGCGCGGGGCCGCGGTCAGGCGGCAAGCAGCAGCGACCCAGGGCGTCTGAGCCAAGAGCGTGCAGATCCAGGGAGTCTGCAGGGCAGCCCCTGAAAGGAACATGCAACGGCACATCCAGAGAGTCTGAGCACAGCCACCGAGGAAAGCCGAGCGCAGCCAAAATGGCGCGCAAAGCGTTCCCGATAGAACGAGAACGAACGGGTGGGGAACGATTCCGAGCGGGACGTCTATCCAAGGAGTCTGACGGGTAGGGACAGACTGACTGGTGACGCAGTCCAGCGGGGAAAATCTCTGACGGCGCCAGCGAACCGTAAAATTGGTGGGGTTACGCGAAGCGTCTAGAATTCCTGGAGGATCGGCTGGGACCTCCCTCACCTTAGGAGGCAACTCTTGGGAGGCCTCCGTAACAACGGTGAAAGGCTGCTAAGCCCGATAGAGGGGCCATCTGGCCAGATTCAGCCAGAATGCGCCCAGGATGCAGCCCCATTCAGCGGGATCCAACGAAACTCAACCGAATTAGGCAGGCTTATGCCCGATTGGACCGGTTACCTGATTGGCAACGTAGGACCCCTAACCGGTTGGAAGCGGGCGGGCATAAGTTAAGAGGCCGAAAACATTAGGGATAGGGGGCCGTTGCAGCTGATGTACCAGGCCAAACCACCCAGATCAGTTCCCCCGCATGCAAAGACGAGAACCTGAATTAGGCCATGTATTCCTTCTGTTCTCGGGTTAATCAGGGGTTCTGTTCCTCTCAGTGACTATCAAAGACGGATATACCCGCGGCAATGCTGAATCTAACCTCCCAAGAGCTGCATCCGAATCCCCCCGTCACGGCGCGATGGACAGCGGACACCTGCGGCAGCGTAACTGGACAGCCACCCGCTCGCTGAGCTCGGCCCTCCTGGAAGCACTGCCCCCAGTGTGCCAGAGGTCTCGGCCGCTGCTGTCACGCCGACGCAGAGGCGGCAAGCTCCGCCACCCTCGGGCCAGCCCGGGTGAGCGGCAGCCCCACGGCGGCGACCAACGCGGAGAGCAGCAGCAGGGGCCTCGCGCGCGTGGGCCCGAGCACCTCCACTGCGGCGGAGGCGGCAAATAGCGCTGTGGAGGCGCCCGCCAGCGCACCAGACCGCAGGACTGCGAGCCGCTCCTGCGACGCCCTCTGCGCCGCCTCCTCCCTGTCCTTCTGCAGGCCCTCCACCTGGGCGCTGAGGTCAGCGATGGCGTGCTGGTGCTCGCTCCGCGTGTCGTTCCCGCCCGTGCCGGCAGCGGCGGCGGGGGCCTGCCCACCCGTGCGGGTCTTCTGCAGGAGTGTGCGGGTGACGTCTCCGAACTTGTACCCCGCCTTGCCTTCTGCACGCCCGGAGCTGTCGCGCCACGTCCTGCGCTGCCGCAGCTCCGCCTGCCCGGGGCGGGGAGACGAGTCGGCAAGCCCGCCGCGGCCCTCCGGAGCAGTGCCGTTGGCGGCCGGGACGTCGTGCGGCGGAGGAAAAACCACCTGGGGCACGCGGCGCACGAGGCTCCTCTTGATGGCCGGCAGGTCTTCCTGCTCGTCGAAGTAAATCCTCTGGAACGCGCTCCAGAGCTCGTGCGACGCCACGCTGTTGAGGCACTGGCCCGCCAATGGCTGAGGGCAAAAAGCCGAGGGCCATGACCAAGACCGACAGCGGAGGCGTCAGTGCCGATCTCGGTCACCGTCACAGCCTGGTCACCGTATATACTCGTGGGTCGTCCTCGCGAATCCGCGACGGCCAGCATGGAACTCGCGCTCCTTGTGAACATGGAGTTGCTATCGTACGTTTGGGCATTGACGAGGTATCGACTGATCCGACTCCAATGGCTTCGGCCAAGGGAGTCCATTTTCGCCAATAAGAAGTTATTCAAGTGAGCATGTACCTCATAAATCAGGGTATGCTTCTACATCCTCTATACATACATATATGTATATATATATGTGTATGTATAAGATATATAGGTCAGCACGGATCACGACTGGGATCGGCGTCGACAAGACCCCGCTGCAGCTCGGTCATGGTCAGCGCGCTTCTCCCCTCGAGATGAGACCTCCACGTGCTCCCCGTCGCCGGCGAACCTGATGAGGAGCACGGAGTTCGCGGGGACGTCGGGCACGGACGCGACGAGCGCCCGCGCGTGCGCGGCGGAGGCCTCGGGGACGCGCCGCAGGAGCGCCTCGCCGAAGCCGCTCTGGACCCTCGCGGCGCCCAGGCCCCACGCAAAGTGCAGGCGGAGGCACTTGCGGTACCTGCCCGCGGCGAGCTGGTCGAAGAAGTCCTGGCGCGCGCAGAGGCTGCCGTGGGGGTGGCCGTCCCAGGCCGCCAGGGTCCGTCTCGCCTCCTCCGCGTCGGCGTACAGCGCGATGCGGTAGACGAGCACGCCCATGATCTTGCGCACTCCGTCGCCGAGCAGCTGGAGAGCAGATCCCGGGGCGCAGTCCAGCTCCTGTGGCGGTGCGCTGTCATCGGCCATGTCTGAACGAAGCGGTAAGCGCGCGGCGCCGAAGAAAGCACTTGAGGCTAAGCTGGCAGCCGAGGTGGCACTAGCGTGGACAAACACTGCCGGAAACGTAAGCGGGAAACGTCTGCCAGCGTGGACACAAAACAGTGAGTCATCGCACTGTGGCGGTGAAGGCTATACGGAGTAAGCTAGTTGGTGGCAGCTGTGTCGTGCAAGCTGTGTGGTGCAAGGTATGGTGTGTAAGCTACATCTGTGTGAGTTACGTTGTGCAAGCGGTGTGGTGTGCCATGTGTGGTGTGGGCTACGCTGTGCAAGCGACGCGGTGTAAACTGTGCGGTGTGAGCCGTGCTGTGAGAGCTACGCGGAGCAAGCTGTGCGCCCGCGAGGCCCCACGGGGCGCCCACGGGCGGGAACCTGGCGAGACCTCGGCGGGCACTCCCAGGGCCCGAGGCGCCCACGAGGCGCCCAGGAGGCGCCAACTGGCGGCAACGCGGCAGCAACCCCGGCGGCCAAACCCAGGCGCTGCGGAAGCGAAGTAAAGCACCCCCCCCCCAAGTGCAAGCACTGCTTGGGGAAGACATACGCGCACGAACATCGCACGAACACGCGCACGCAGACTCGGGCACACAGACACAAGTCGCACGCCTGAACGACCGCATGTACACTGGACCATGGCGCGCGCGCGCGCTCTCTGCACTCGCGCTCAGGACCTAACTGCATTGCAGCCTGGCGTGTAGCGCGGACGAAGTGCCGTGCTCGAATGCGCAGGAACCCCTCAGGAACCCTGGGCTTCCAAGCTGGCAGCGTCGCCGGCGAGGGCGCGGCTCGGGGCCCAGAGGCCAGGGCGAGGGCTGCGCAGCTGGCCGAGCACCAAGCGTGCGCACGTGCAGGCACGCGCGTCCCCCCCCCCCCAGTGCTCCCCCCCGCGGCCCCCGACCTCCACGCTCTCCACGGGCCACGGGCGGAGGGGGGGGGGGGGGGGGGCGAAGGGCGAGGACGCCGTGGGGAGGCGAGGAGAAAAGAGGGGGGCGCGCCCCGCGGTGCGCGACTCTCGGCAGTCTTCGCGCCCCCGCGCCGCCGCCCTGGAGAAGGGGGCCTCTCCAGCGCTCTCCAACCCAAGCCCGCGACGCGCGAGGCGCGGCTGCCTTCGCGCCCCCCCTCGGGCGACCCAGCAGCATCCCTTGGATCACTACTCCATGATCCCTGGGCACCGATTCCAAGGGATTCCCACACGTGATCCCACAAGGATCACTACTCGAGATCGCTGGGAATCGATTCCCAAAGATCCGAAAGGCGATCCTGGGATCACCTTTAAAATCCGCCGACCCCGAGAAGCATGTGAAACTCAACTGTTCACGTGTTGACGCGTTCCAAAACACGCGACAATTCCTGGCTCGGAACCGGCCCCGACCCCCCACCCTGACCCCTCTCCACGCCCCGGCCACCCCCACCCTCGGGACCTGTGCTCTTGGGACCCTCCACCCGGCCATCCCTGGCCCGGAACCGACCCCGACCCCCCCTGACCTCTCACCACGCCCAGGCACCCCCAGCCTCTGGCAACCGGCCGACGACGACGACGACGACGACGACGACGACGACGACGCCCCCGACCGACCGACCGACCGACCGACCGACCGACCGTCCTGCGCCTGCAGCCAGCAGCGCCGACCCTGCCGCTGGGCGGCGGCCCCAGCCGTCGGCGGCCAGCAGGAGACTCCTCTGCCGCCGCTGGGGGGGGGCTGGGGGCGACGAAAGGGCTCGCCATCGAGCAGGCTAACCAGCCTCGAACGTATCCCTATCCCTAAGATTAACAAGCCAAAAGTCGACGACAATCTTAGGGATGCGCCCTCAGAAACGGAGGGAATCCCTAAGATCGGCATCGAGATGAGGCGATGCCAATCATAGGGATAGGGATATGTTCCAGGCTGGTGACAGGCGGGTTCCGAGAGAAACGGGCCATGAGCTGTTCTCGTCGTCCTCGGGCTCCTGGGGCCCTCGATGGGCCTCGGGACCGTCGAAGAGCAGCTCAGGACGAGGAGCTGGTCCCGTGGGACCCCATTGGGGTCGAAGACCCACTTGCCCTAAGAACCGTCTGCTTCATGCCACACGGACGTGGCAAACGATACAGTAGGGGCCCGACCACAAGAAACCTTCCACAAGAAACCCAACCCTGAGACCCCAGGACGTCCATTGACTTTTGGTTTGGGAACGTCACGCTCTCCATAACAAAACAATCGAAACCAAAGAAGAAACCCCGCAATCCTGATCCCTTGGAGGCCATCGCAGGACAGAAAACTTAGAGGCCTCCTAGATGAGGTCGGAGTAGATGGGGTCGGAGGATCTCACCGCATCGGCCATGCACCGGCGACGTCGGCGATGCGTCGACGGAGAAGATTCGGCCCCACATCGAGCCGCATCGGCGATGCATCGGCGATGCGGCGCGATCCTCGGACCTCATCCAGGAGGCCCAGAATTTGGATCGGCAATAGCGACTACAGGCGGTCCACCGCCATATCGGGCGAAGAAACTCAAACTCAGAAAACAAAATCTAAGCCAAAACCTGCGGAAATCTCAAACTCTCAAAAACTTTGAAAAAAACTCTAAACCAAAACCAGCGAAAAACTCAAACTCTAAAACAACTTCAAAGAATATCTAAGCCAAAACCTGCGAAAATCTCAGATTCTAAAGAAACGTTCAAAACATATCTAAACCAAAACCTGCGAACTCCACGAACTTTCACAAAAAAACAAAAACATAAAAACAACAACAAACAAACTCTAAGCCGAAACCTGGGGAGATCTCAAACCTAGAAAAAAAAACTTAAAACCGGAACTCTAAAAAAATAAAACAACTCTAAATGCCTAAGAACTCTGAACAATCTCGAAATCTTTTACACCAAAACCTATAGATATAACTCTAAAAACTATTTAAACAACTCTAGGAAAATTCAAAAAAAAACTCTAGACTAACTTCTGATCGCCTGGCGAACTCAAACAAAACTCTGGAGGACAAAAACTCAAAAAAATCGAAATGCAACATCCCGCTTAAATGTTGAGATTTCCGCAGGTTATGGTTTTGAGTTGTTTGGAGATCTGTTTCGAGTTTGATTGAGATGTTTGCAAGTTTTGGCTTAGAGATTGTTTGAAGTTTTTTTCGAGTTCGAGATTTTCGCAGGTTTGGGCTTAGATATTGTACTTTTGAGAGTTTGAGATTTCCGCAGGTTTTGGCTTAGAGATGTCTTGAAGTTTTTTGGGGGGATGAGTTTCCTGCTGAAGATGTTCCGAAGATTTCGGCTGGTTTTCTCGATGGACCTCCTGTACTATAATTGCCGAACCTAAGCCTAGAAAGCTACCGAAAGCCTCCAGAGACCTCGATAGCCTCGGTCCTCGAAACCTCGCCCTCCTCGAAGACCTCGATTGCCTCGATCCTCGAAGGCCCGTGGACGAAGCCCTGCTCGAGGACGACGAAGGCAACGAGGACGGCGGCGACGCCAGCGGTGGCAGCGCGACGCCCTTCCGGACCTCCGACGCCAAACATTGTCCATGCTAGGGAACCGAGCTCTATACACCGACGCGTTTTCCGGCCCTGCACTGAAATTCGCACATGCAAGCGGATCCTGGTGTATGCGAGACCCAGGTGTAGAGGTGTTTCGTTGTTTCCCCGGCACAGCGAGGAGAAAAGTATACACCACACCACCCGACGTCGTGTCCGACCCTCAAAAAGTCCTGGGATGGAGAAAAAGCCCGCCAGTGGTAGTGTATCTGCTCCAGCTTCCGAACAAGCCGGGGGGAGACTCTTGACCCCAGACCCCCCTGTCGGCCAGAGGAGGAGGAGGGACGGCGGCGGTCTGCCGAACGACTGTCGCAAAGCGGAGTGGTGACAGGAGAGAGAAGAGCAGGGCCCGCTCAAGCTGCACACAACTGGGAGCTGGACTGACAAGCTCGCGTTGAAACGAGACGACCTCGGCGCAGTCAGCAACGCACATGCAGGCTCACCAGCGCGCGGAATCCTTCGGTTTTCAACCAGGAAGGACAGCAAAAACAGTGGGATGTGATTTCTGTTCTGGACCAAGTAGATCCTTGATTGACCTTTGTATTGATGTGGGGCGCCAAAGGGTACCGTCGAATGGATTGCCACAAGGAGCGCACGAATACCGCACCGAGACTTACACAAATCCCCAACTTATCCGATGAGCGTCTCGAAGAGCCTGGAAGGCCGCGGTAAGGTCCGGCACGCTTGTGGTCTGGTATACTTTTCGGCGGGGTCGGGTCTGGATTGGTGATCTGGCTTGCGTTAACGGTTTACTTTTGGGCGGGGTCTGGTCTATTACTGGGCGATCAGGCCTGTTATGGCGGGTGGTCTGGTTTACTTGTGGGCGCGGTCGGGTCTACTTTGGGGTGATCTGGCTTGCATTAACGTGTGGTCTGGCTTACTTTTGGGTCAAATCTGGTATATTTTTGGGCGGTCTGGCTTGCTTTGATCCGTGGTCAGCTTTACTTTTTGGAAGGGTCGGGTTAACTTTCGGAAAGCCTAACTTGATGCGAAGACGGTCTGGTTTACTTTTGGGCGGGATCTGGTCTACGGTTGGGTGTTCAGGCCTAATGTGGCGGGTGGTCTGGTTTACTCTTGGGCGGAGTCTGCTCTGCTTTTGGGCTTTCCAGCCTGCTGCGATTGGTGGTCTTGCATTGTTGGGCGGGCAGGGTCTAATTTCGGGCGGCCCATCTTGCTGCCATGGGCGGTTTGGTTTACTTGTGGGTGAAGTCTGGTCTACTCTTGAATGGCCTGGCGTGCTTTAATGGGCGGTCAGATTTACTTGCGGGCGGAGTCTGGTCTACGTTTGGATGGTCTGGCGTGCTTTGCTGGGTGCTCTGATTTATTTTTGGTGGCGTTTGGTCTACTCTTCGGCGGTCTGGCCTACAGTCATTGGTGGTCTGGCATACTTTTGGGCGGGATCTGGTCTACAAATGGGCGGTCTTGCCTGCCATTTCGGGTGGTATGGCTCCCTTTTGGGCGGAGTCTCCTCTATTTTGGGGCGACTGTGCCTGCTGTGGTTGGTTGGTCTGGCTTGCTGTTGGGCGACGTCAGGTCGACTCTCGGGTGGCCCAATTTGTTGTGGTGCGTGGTCTGGTGTGCTTCTGGGCGGGGTCTGGTCTAGTCTTGGGTGGTCTCGCTGGCTGTGACAGGCGTGTTGATTTACTTTTAGGCCCCGGGGAGGGGGCCCGGCGTATTAGTTTATTCGATGTATCTATATATATATATATATATATATATACACACACACACTTTCCCCTGAAGGTGGGCATCACGGGCATCACGTGAAGCCGAAGTAGAGCAGGCGTAGATTGCCCAGTCTACGTACCTCGCGAAATACTTTTCGACCTGGGACGCGGGTCTCGCGTGTGCCATAACTCCATGCAGACTTGAGCCTTCTCGTGGGACTCGATTGTGAGCCAGGGACCTAGCGTGAAGACAGCCAGAGCTACAAACTCGCACAAGGAGACATTGCCTTGCACAAAGCTCCCTCCTACAGAAAATGCATGGGGCCGTCATGGCAATGAATTCCACCTCGAATCCAATTTTGCGGAGGCTGTGCAAGACGTGCTACCTCCTCCTCCTCCTCTTCCTCCTCCTCCTCCTCCTCCTCATCATCCTCATCCTCCTCCATCCCTTTTCACTATTCCCCAAACAATGCTTGCACTTAGGGTTTCTTACTTCTGTACTAAGGAACTGGGCCGTGTCTTCGGTCTGGCGGCTATGTGGCCGCCGTTGCCGCCCCGTCGCCGCCTCATCGCCACCCATCATCTGGGCCGTGTCTTCGGTCTGGCGGCTATGAGGCCGCCGTCGCCGCCCCGTCGCCGCCTCGTCGCCGCTGGTCGTCTGGGCCTGTCTGCCCTCGGCTATGTCGTCGCCGTCACCGCCCCGTCGCCGCGAGTGCCCAACATAGATCGCAACACATAGATTGGGCATCAAGGATTGCACCGCATGAATTTCATCACATAGACTGCACCACCTAGATTGCTTCCCATAGATCCCAGCACATTGATTGCATCACATAGGTTGCACAACATAGATCCCTCAACACAAACTGCACAACAGATATTCTCACTTATACAAAACAGAATACACTCCACTACCCTCCCGAGGCCGGAATTATCCGCCCCCCTTTTCACACTGCACTCTACACGTGATTCTGCCCCATCATGCCTCCGCTGGCAGCAGGACGCGCCAGTACGCGACTCGCGCCACCGCCTACACCACAGCGTCTTCCGCGGGGGGCGCCGCGCCAGACGCGCCTTGGTCCGACACGCACACGTTGGGCGCTCCCTCCGCCGCTTCCTGCTGGGGCGGGCAAAGGGGACGACGACGACGACGACGGAGTCGCGTTCTACTCACCACGCCGCACCGCATGGGGATTACTCAGAGCTGAGACCCCTACATGTGGATCTCATACTCCCGTCGCACACCGCTGAACAAAAAAAAAACTCGATGCGTGATTATCTGGATGTGAGCGCAACGACGACGATGACGACGTCGACGACAGCAATGACTTCAGTGACGTCCTCCTCGTCTGGACTTGTCCCGGAAAAACAAGGGAAATCCAAGTGGAAGAGCGAGACGAACTTCCTCATGTCGTTCTCACCGCGGCAAGTCAGGGCAGCACGCATGGCGTTGCTACGCCCGCTTTCTGGCATGCTACTCGCGGTGTCTGCTGGCATTTGGGGTGCCTGAGTGCCACGCCGGCTATATCGCGGCAACCACTTGCGTGTGAGCCGTAGTGCGAATGTATATGAGCATGGGTGATCTGAGTGTGGGCGAGTCGTAATGTGAGTAGATCCACGTTTGATTGAGCCTGCCTGAGTGTGAATAAGTCTGAATAGAGTCAGTCTCAGCATGAGTGGGTCTTAGTATGAGTGGGTCTGAGTGCGAGCGAGTCGAAGTGCGAGCGGGTCAGAGTGTGATTGAGTATGAGAGTGGGTGCGTCTGAGTTTGAGTGTGATGAATACACATCTGAGTGTGAGTGAGGCTGGGTGTGCGAGGTAGTCTAAGTATGAGTGAATCTGAGCGTGGGCGAATCTGAGCGAGAGTGGATGTAAGTGTGAGTTGGTCTGGGTGCGAGTGGGTTTGAGTTTGAGTGAGTCTGAGTATGAGCGGGTGAATATGAATGAGTCTGAGTATGATCTCATATGCGTATGGGTGAGTCTGCATGAGATGAGTCTGAGTTTGGTAGACGTGCTGATGAGTAAGTCCGACTGCGAATGAGTGCGTCTGAATGGGAAAAGGAAGGGAGATGAGTGAGTGAGCGAAGAGCACACACATCCAAAGATATGTTTGGGGGACAAAAACAAGCAAACCAGCTGGGACATCCCCACAATCTGGGCGTGAATCCTCGAGTGTCCTCAACCCCTGGCGGCTCCCCCTTGGGGTGCAAAAAGCCACGCCTGCTACATCGCGGTGAGCATTTGACCACCAAATAGAAGACTGGGGGCAGAAAGAGGCAAACCGCATCAAACACCGCAACAATGTGGGCGCGATTGTTGGAGTGTTCTCAAACACTGGCGGCTCCCCCTTGGGGTGCCCAAGTGCCAAGTCTGCTACATCGCGGTGAGCGTTGGATCACCAAAGAACAAACAAAAACTCTGGGGTGCAGAAACAAGCAAATCGCCTGAGAGCTCCCGCCTGAAACTTCCCCGCAACTTACGCACAAACGAAGCCCCCGTTGGAGACATCCTCACGATTTGGCCCCCTGGGGTGCGCAAGTGTTATGCCTGGTAAAATTTGCCGATGCCGCTCAAATTTAAACATGAAGTGCGGGCCCCATAGAAGGGAGGCGCCCGCCTGAGATTTCCTCGACACTCGACAATCACAGACAAAACCCCCCGCTGGAGACATTCTCACGATGTGCCCGTTTGGGGCGCTCAATTGCTATGCCCGGTAGAATTTGCCGATGACCCGCTCGGAGTCAATCAAGAAGTGCGGGCCCCATAGGAACTGGGTTCCCGCATGGACTTCCTCGCAACTCGTTCACAGACGAAGCTCCCGCTGGATACATGCTCATGCTTTGTCCCCTGGGGTACTCAAATGCTACGCCTGGTAAAGTTTGCCGATGACCCACTCGGATTGAAACGTGAAATGCGGGCCGCACAGGGAAAGGGCGTCCACATGAGACTTCCTCGCAATTCACTCACAGACGGAGCCCCCGATGGAGACATCCCCACCATTTGCCCATCTGGCGCGCTCGAATGCTATGCCTGATAGAATTTGCCGATGACCCGACCGGATAAAAACATGAAGCGCGGGCCCCATAGGAAGGGGGCTTCCGCATGAGACGCCCTCACACTTCAGTCACATACGAAGCGCCCGCTGGAGACATGTTCACAATTTGCCTCTTTGGGGTGCTCAAATGCTGTGCCTGGCAAAGTTTGCCGATGATTACCTCGGATTCGAAGATGAACTGCGGCCCATAGGGGAAGGGCCCCCGCCTGAGACTTCCTCGCAAGTCACTCGCAGACGAAGCCCCCGATGGAGACTTCCTCACAATCTGCCCCCTTGGGATTCTCAAATGCTACGCCCGGTAACTTTGTGCCAACGATCCGCTTGGAGTCGCACATGAAGCGCGGGCCCCATAGGGAGGGGGCCTCCGCTCGAGACGTTCCTCAAAATGAACACGTGAGTGTGTGAGTGTCTATGGTGATGATGATGACGATGATGACGGCGCTGACGACGTCGCTGCTGCTGCTGATGACGATGATAACGACGATGATGATGATGGCGATGCTGATGGTAATGGTGATGGTGGTGATGATAATGCGAATGATGGTGATGACGATGGTGACGGTGATGACGATAACGACGACGGCGATGGTGTTGACCGCGTTGATGATGATAATCAGTACACCGACGATGACGATGGTGATGGTGATCATCATGATGATGGTGATACTGATGCGGATGGTGATGGCGACGTTGATGATGGTGATGTTGCTGATCCTGATGATGATGGCGATGCTGACGATGGTGATGATGCGATTGGTGATGGCGATGATGACGGTCATGACCACGATGATGATGCCATGATGATGGTGGCGGTGATGATGACGGCGATGACGTTGACGATGGCGATGATGATGACAAAGGCGATGATGTTAAGAATGACGATGGTGACGGTGGCGATGGTGATGGTAGAGGTGATGGTAGAGGCGATGGCGGTGATGACGATGATCCCCGATTTCCAAGGAGGGTCGAAACCGAAGCGTTCACGCCCGCCACAACTCGCCGCCGACTGCCCCGCCACCTATGCCCGCGCAACTCTCCACGCGTGCCAGCGGCAGGCCCACTGACAGGCCCTCATGCGCCCACATGCGTCGCCATGCACTTAGACTTCGCCAGGCAACACAGGAAGGGCGCCCTTCCCAGGCGCCCGGGGCGCGCTGCACCGGCGAGGACAGGGCACCTCTACGCATCAGGCGCAGGTCCTGCGGGCCACCCGACGGGGCACGTGCCCCCGCGGCCAAGACCAGGAGGAGCCCGTGCTCCGCGAGCGCACGAAGCAGGGCGCGCAAGGAGGCCGTGCCCCGCGCGCCCTGCTCGGGGCAAAGGGCGCAGGAGGCCGCGCTCCGACGCCCAACCTACCCACCACCCACTCCATGGGTGGCCGCTGGCGATGAGGAGCAATGTTCTCTCCCAGTGGCCCCGCACGGGCAAACAAGGGTGACGATCGGGATGCTACCCGCCTGATGTTCTGGGAAGGGGCCCCAGTGGCACAGGTGCCGCGATGATGATGATGATGATGATGATGATGATGATGATGATGATGATGATGATGATGATGATGATGATGATGATAATGATGATAATGGTAATGATGATGATGGTGATGGTGATGGTGATGGTGATGGTGATGCTGATGATGATGCTGATGCTGATGCTGATGCTGATGCTGATGATGATGATGCTGATGATGATGATGATGATGATGATGATGATGATGATGATGATGATGATGATGATGATGATGATGAGTGCATAGGTGTGCGTGGGCGAGGAAGACAGGGGAGGAGGTGGAGGAGGAGGCGGAGGAGGAGGAGGAGATCCTGCGCTGGGGGTGCGCAAAGAAAGTCACGACCAGAGCTCTAGACCTTTGTTTTTCCCAAACATCCTGTGGTGTTGGGTCCTCGTTTTGAAGAGACAGCGCCCCGCGTCCCACCTCCTCTCCTCCTCCTCCCCCTCCTCGCCCTCCTCCCTCCTCCCCCTCCTTGCCTCTGCTCTCGGCACACCCCTCACACGTTTCGTAGCCCCATAGGGAGCTCCACCGAAGGTCCCAGTGGCACAGCCCGCATGCGGTTCCCCCACCCAGGGCAGCGTTTCGCAGCCCCATAGGGAGCTCCACCGAAGGTCCCAGTGGCACAGCCCGCATGCGGTTCCCCCACCCAGAGCAGCGGTTCGTGGCCCCATAGGGAGCTCCACCGAAGGTCCCAGTGGCACAGCCCGCATGTGGTTCCCCTACCCAGGGCAGCGCTTCGTGGCCCCATAGGGAGCTCCACCGAAGGTCCCAGTGGCACAGCCCGCATGCGGTTCCCCCGCCCAGGGCAGCGTTTCGTACCCCCATAGGGAGCTCCACCGAAGGTTCCAGTGGCACAGTCCGCATGCGGCTCCCCCTGGCACCATAGGGAGCTCCACCGAAGGTCCCAGTGGCACAGCCCGCATGCGGTTCCCCCACCCAGGGCAGCGTCTCGTAGCCCCATAGGGAGCTCCACCGAAGGTCCCAGTGGCACAGCCCGCATGCGGTTCCCCCACCCAGGGCAGCGCTTCGTGGCCCCATAGGGAGCTCCACCGAAGGTCACAGTGGCGCAGTTCGCATGCGTTCCCCCCCACCCAGGGCAGCGTGTCGTGGCCCCATAGGGAGCTCCGCCGAAGGTCCCAGTGGCGCAGTTCGCATGCGTCCCCCCCACCCAGCACAGCGTTTCGTGGCCCCATACGGGGTTCCCCCGAATGCGATACCCACAACTGCATATGGTTGGGTCCTTCGCCAGGCTAATTTCAAGCCAGATCGATATGTGAGGGCCCTGGGGCCCGAAACCTGACGAAAACGCCCAGCTGGAAAAAAAATGAGACGACAGGATCTCAGGGTCGCCGCAGCCGATCCTGCTGGGGCGCACATCGCAGCCCAGGCGCGCACTCGCCCTTGTACGTCTCCTTGCTGCCCCACCAGCCGCACGACTCGCCCTCGAGCCTGTTCATGAACCACATTTCCGTGGTCGCCGCCTCCTCGTCGACGACCGTCGTCATCGCCTCCTCGTCGACGGCCGCCGTCGTCGACTCCTCGCCGTCGGTGGTCGACTCCTCGCCGTCGGTGGTCACCCTCGTTGGAGGCTCCCAAATGGGGTCCGAGTAAACAGGGTCGGAAGATCGCGCACATCGACAATGCGTCGGCGATGTATCGGCGATGCATCGGCGGCGCTGGCATGGAGAAAATCGAGCTCCACATCGAACCGCATCAACGATGCGGCGCGATCCTCCGACACCATATACAGTCCGACCTGGGCCAGAAGAACACTCTTCAAGAACACGAGACCCTCCGTCAGCCAAAGTAAGCAGAACATCCAAGGGCACCGTCCCTAAGGGAAGCACAAGAACATAAAAAACGAAGAACAGTTAGGGTACCCTCCCCGAACCGACCTCGATCTTATACCTCGGTCCGACTCCGACCCCCTTCTGGAAGGTCCAGGTTCGCGGGGCGGGCGCAAGAAGAACAGAAAAAAAACACGACGCCCACGAAAACAAAAAATAACCTCCGAGGGCCGCAGCGCCCACCACCGGAGAAGCGCCGAACCGCCGAAGAGCACGCTTTTTCTGGAACGCTGCGGGGCGACTTGATCGCCTCGTTGGTGGCGCGCACATTAGAGGCTTCTTGCGCCCGAAGCGCACGTTGCCTTCGTCGCCTTTCCCCAGCCCCCCGCCTCCTTGCTGTGTTCACCCTTCAGTCTCGCGCATGGGTGCACGCGGGGAGCTTCAATTGGTTCCCCCGCCGAACACAGCAATCGAGGATGTATCGCCCAGGCATGGCCCATAGAAACACCATTGCTGGGACCCTGCGCCCGACCTACATTCACTCTCCAATAGAAGGAGGCCGCTCCTTAGAAGGCGCCCGCCCTCCATCCGCAGAAAAGGCCCCATAGGGGAACAACAAATGACATAAACATAAAACCTCAGAGGTCCGCGCGGATTTCTCGGATCCGCGCTGGACCCCCCTGGCGGCGCCTTCGGTGCCGTCCCTGGCGCGCTCCGCGCGCCAGGGAGGGGGGTCCAGCGCCGATCCGAGAAATCTGCGCGGACCTCCGAGTTGTTATGTTTATGTCACTTTTTCCCCCTACTCCAAGAGGCAGGGGTGCTTCCAAGAAGCCTTCCCCTCTACCCCATGCCCCCCTCTGCGCGATTAGGGGGAAAACAAACCTACCTCGCTTTTGATCACCCTCGCTTCCAAGAGATACCAAACGATGCCAAATTGCAGCCTGTACTGGTCAGGCCGCTTGACGAGGAGGCGCGTGCTATGGCTTGGTTTTGCCTGGAAGCGAAAGCGGGGTAGGTCATTCACGCTCTGCGCGATGCCGCTGCTCCCCGGACCTCTCCCGGCGCGCGCTCTGGCCAGCAGTCCGAGGCGAAGCCCGCCGTGGCGACGAGGGCCTCCCGGAAGGTCCTTATAAGAGCCGGCGCCCCGTCCCTGCCGGGCCCGGGGCCCGCACACAGACCCCCGGCGACGAAGGCGGTGACAAAAACTCCACCACCCTGGCTTGAAGGGGCCCTGGGACACACAAACAAACACACACACACGCACACAAACAACAGGATGCCCTGTATTTCCCTATATCTTCTGGGCTTTTGTCTTCCCCCCACACTTCCCATATTTTCTCATATTTCCTGGGGATCGACGATTAATTGTGTCTGTGTGCTTTCTCCTCTCCTGAGTCTCGTCCCTGCCGGGCCCGGGGCCCGAAAAAACGGACCCCCGGCGACGAAGGCGGTGACAAAAACTCCGCCCCCCTGGCTCGGAGGGCACCAACTATACACCAACACCGATCCTGGCCCAGGATCACCCTGGGCCCAGGATCGGTGTATATGCCTTCTTGCGCAAGACAGGAGGGTGTATACACCGATCCTGGGCCCAGGGTGATCCTGGCCAGGATCGGTGTTGGTGTATAGTTGGTGCCTTCCTACCTGGCTTTGGCCACAGACGCCGGAACGCCGGGCCCCCTCGCGTCGGAGCGGGGAGGGCCGAGACGACGGCGGCCCTCGAGCTCGCCGGGGGGCCCGGCGCCGCAGCAATCCCAGGCGGCGCCCAGGCCCCGGCGGCGAGGGGGCACTCCGAAGGCCGGCGACCGCTGCCTCGACGGCCGGCGTCGTCCAGCCCCCGGTGGCTCTCGGGGCACATCTCTCGGGCCTCCGGTGGCCGTGCGGGACGACATCCCAGCGCCCCCGCGGAAGGCTCGCGGCGAGGCGCAGCCGACGGGAAGCGCCGGGCCCGAGGCCGGGAGGGGGTCGCCGAGAAGCGGCGCAGGCGCCCGAGAGCCTCGAGCGCCTGGAGACTGCGTGCCGGCCCAGCGGGAAGTCCAAGTGCACTCCGAATTTCAAGAATAAGGGGGGGGGTCTGACTTGGGGGGGTCTGATCTGAGCTGTCTTGGAGGGTTCGGGGGGGGGGCATGGGGCCAAAGGCCGCCCTGTCACGGCTGGCCTGGAGGAGGGGTTAGTGACCCCCCCTCTTCTCATGAAATTCGGAGGGCCGCTGCCTCTACTTCGAGTAGGGGAACGAATACGGAATTGCCTTACTCCAAAGTTGACATGTCGTCGGACCTACAAAAAGTACGTCGAACGTTTGTAGATCTACGAACACTCGACGCATCTTCTCGCAGACCCGACGAACAGATCAAGCTTCGGGTAAATCACTTCTGCAGTCGACTCCGCGGCGAGCGAGGGGGGCAAGTGAGAAGGAGAAGGCCGTCTCAGAAGGCGGCGTGGCTTCTCCAAGCCCTCGGGCCTTCGGAGAGGTCTCCGTGTCTCTGGGCGAAGCTCGGAAGACCTCTCAGAAGAATCGGGGGACTCCCGAGCCCTCTGAGAAGGCCAGCCCCTTCTCACTTCCACCCTGGCTCGTCGCCGACACGGGCTCACGGGGATCCCCGCAGCACTGGCCTGCACGCTTGGTCTTGGCCTGCTCGCGGCCCCCTCAAGCCGTGCATCAAAGGTCACTCTTGCGTGCAGTCGAATGAGTGGCAACGTTAGGGGGGGACATTGGAGTCGGCTGGGGGTCTGAGATGGCCCAGCACTGGCTCTGACCAGGGGGGAAACGGGAACACCTCCGCCACAACACCCCGGCACGGGACACCCGCGCGCTCCCTGCCAGGGTGGGGCCCCGAGGACCCGATCAGCGATGAACTGGCGATTCGGCGCCGATGCCTCCTCCTCCTCCTCCTCCTCCTCCACCTCCACCTCCACCTCCACCTCCACCTCCTCCTCCTCCTCCTCCTCCTCCACCTCCACCTCCACCTCCACCTCCTCTCTTCCTCCTCCTCCTCCTCCTCCTCCTCCTCCTCCTCCTCCTCCACCTCCTCCTCCTCCTCCCCCAATCGGCGGCCCTCACTTGAATCTGAGGTCCCTCCTCCGACTCTTATGGGCCGCCTCGCCTGGTGTCGAGGCCCGACGCCCGCGCGGGCGGCGCCGCCCCCCCGGACGCCGGCACGCGGGCCGCTGGCCGGGTGGCCGCTGGCCTCGCCGCCTTCAGCCGCAGGGTGGCGTCGAGGCTGCGCGAAGAGGAGCTCCTTGAACGACGACGGCGATCGACGACGACGACGACGACGACGACGACGACGACGCCGACGACCCATGAGATCCTGGCGTCGCCATTCTCTCGAACCGGGCGTTTTCGCCTGGTTTCTAGCCCCTGGACCCTCACAGATCGATCCGGATCCAAAAGCGGCGTCGAAAAGTGGGATCTGGGGCTCTGGACGTGGTTTTTCAATAATACATATTTTTCGCTACGTCAGACGCCAGGGTTGGACGCCGATCACAACGACGACGACGACGACGACGACGACGACGACGACGCCGACGAAAGGATAGACGACGACGACGGGCCGACGATGAGGATGAGGATGAGGATGAGGATGAGGATGAGGATGAGGATGATGATGATGATGATGATGATGATGATGATGATGATGATGATGATGATGATGATGATGATGATGATGATGATGATGATGACGATGGTGGTGATGATAATGATGATGATGATGATGATGATGATGGTGATGATGATGATGCTCATGATGATGATGATGATGATGATGATGATGATGATGATGATCATGATGATGATGACGATGATGATAAAGATGATGATGCTTAAGATGATGATGATGCTGATGGTGGCGATGGGAATGATGATGATGATGATGGTGACGATGACGATGGTGATGACGATGACGATGACGATGACGATGAGAATGATGATGATGATGCCGATGATGATGGTGATGGTGCTGGTAATGATGATTATGATGATGATGATGATGATGATGATGATGATGATGATGATGATGATGACGATGACGATGACGGTAACGACGACGACGACGACGACGACGACGACGACGACGGCGACGAGGACGAAGACGATGACGACGACAACGACGACGAGGGGGACTACGACGATGACGAAGACGACGACGAAGACGACGACGAAGACGACGACTTCCAGCCACAGGGCGGCGCCGAGGCTTCGCATAGAGGCTCCTGCACTGTCCGCTGGCGCACCTGGGGTCACCGGGCCCAGCGGCGGGGACAGGCGCGGGCTGTCGGATCGCTCGGCCCAGGCGGCCCCCCTCCTCCTCCTTTTCCTCCTCCTCCTCCTCCTCCTCCTCCTCCTCCAACTTCTCCTCCTCCTCCTCTTCCTCCTGCCTCCTCCTCCTCCTCCTCCTCCTACTACTACTACTACTCCTACTCCTCGTCCTTCTCCTCTTCCTCCTCCTCCTCCTCCTCGTCCTCCTCCTCATCATCATGATCATCATCATCATCATCATCATCATCATCATCATCATCATCATCATCATCATCATCATCACCATCATCACCATCATCACCATCATCACCATTATCATCATCATCATCATCATCATCATCATCATCATCATCATCATCATCATCAGCCACATCAACATCAGCATCAGCATCAGCATCAGCATCATCATCATCATTAGCATCATCATCCTAATCATCATCATCATCATCATCATCATCATCATCATCATCATCATCAAAATCAGCATCATAATCATCATCGGCATCATCAGAATCATCATCCTCATCATCATCAGCATCATCACCAACATCACCATCAGCATCACCATCATCATCAGCATCAGCATCATCATCATCAACGATTTTCTCCTCCGTCTCCTGCTCCCCCTCCTCCTCCTCCTCCTCCTCCTCCTCCTCCTCCTCCTGGTCCTCCTCCTCCTCCTCCTCCTCCACGTCCTGCGCCTCCTCCTTCTCCTCCACATCTGTCTCGCCCACTTGGAGGACTGCGAGGACGACAAGGATGACGAGGAGGAGGAGAAGGAGGAGGAGGAAGAGGAAGAGGAGGAGGAGGAGGAGGAGGAGGAGGAGGAGGAGAGGAGGACAACGACGAGGACGACGAGAACGAAACCGAAGGAGGAGCGGCGCGAGGGGGGACGCCCTCTTGAGAAGGCGGGATGGGGTCTGAGAAGGTGGGTATCTTCTTACGTAAGCCCTTCCGGCTTCTAGGAAGCCCTCCTGAGAAGCCTCTGGGCAAATCTGAAAGGCCCCTGCCCTATAAAAACCCGCCCCCTTATTGAAGGCTTCTCCCCTCGCGGCATCCCCTTGCACGCGCCGCCAATTCTCCTCGTCCTCGTCCTTGTCCTTGTCCTCGTCGTCAGCGTCCAGGTCCTCCTCCTCCTCCTCCTCCACCTCCTCCTACTCCTCCTCCTCCTCCTCCTCCTCATCATCACCATCATCATCATCATCATCATCATCATCATCAGCAGCAGCATCAGCATCAGCATCAGCATCAGCATTAGCATCATCATCAGCATCATCATCATCACCATCATCATCATCATCATCATCATCATCATCAGCATCATCATCAACGACATCATCATCACCATCAATATCATCAACATCGTTATCATCATCATCATCATCATCATCATCATCATCATCATCATCATCATCACTATCATCATCATCCATCATCATCATCAGCAGCATCAGCGTCATCGTCATCAGCAGCATCATCATCACCATCGTCATCCTGATCATCATCATCATCATCATCATCATCAGCATCATCATCATCATGAACACCAGCATCATCATCAGCAATATCATCATCAACATCATCAGCATCATCATCATCTTCAGAAACATCATCAAAATCATCAGCATCAGAATCAGCATCAGCATCATCATCACCGTCAACATCATGGTCAGCATCAGCATCATCATCGTCAGAATCCTCGTCATCATCAGTATCATCGCCAGCATCATCATCATCAGCAGCAGCATCATCATTATGGTCATCAGAAGCATCATCAGCACCAGCATCATCATCATCGTCGTCATCGTCCTTGTCATTGTCATTGTCATCGTCATCATCACCATCACCACCATCACCATCATCATCATCAGCATCATCATCATCATCACCATCATCATCATCATCATCATCATCATCATCATGATCATCATAGCCATCATCAGGATCACCATCATCGTGAGCCTCATCCTCATCATCATCAGCAGCAAAAGCATCAGCATCATCAGCAATCCCATCATCATCAGCAGCATCAGCATCAACATCTGGATTCGCATCATTAGCATCTTCCACAGCATCACAACCATCACCATAGCAATCAGCATCAGCATTATCATCATCATCATCATCATCATAATCGTCATCAGCATCATCATCAGCCTCATCATCACCACTACCAGCGTATTCATCATCATCATCAGCAGCATCAGCCTCATCACCATCATCATCATCATCATCATCATCATCACCATCAGCATCATCGTCATCATCAGCATCATCATCGTCATCATCATCGATGTCATCAACATCATCATAATCAACATCAGCATCATCGTAATCGTCCTCATCATCACCTTCATTATCAGCAGTTGCAGCGTCGGTACCAGCAGCAGCACGAGTATCAATCATTGTCAGCATGAGCATGATCATGATCAGAATCTGAATCATCATCATCATCATCATCATCATCATCATCATCATCATCATCATCATCATCATCATCTTCAGAAGCATCAGCAGCATCATCATCAGCATCAGCATTAGCATCATCATCGTCATCATAATCATTACCAACAACAACATAATCATGATCAGCATCATCATTACCATGATCAACATCAGAAGCATCATCGTCATCATTATCATCATCATGATCAGCATCATCATGATCATCACAAGAATCATCATCATCATCATCAGAAGCATCATCAGCATCAGCATCAGCATCATCATGGTCACCACCACCATCGTCATAATCATCAGCAGCAGCATCATCAGCAGCACCATCATCACCATCATCATCATCATCGTCATGATCCTCGTCACCATCATCATCATCATCATCATAATCATCATCATCATCATCATCATCATCATCATCATCATCATCATCATCATGATCATCATCAGCATCATTATCGTCATCCTCGTCAAATCATCATCAGCAGCATCATCATCTGTATCACCATCATCATCATCATCATCAGCATCATCAGCATCATCAGCATCGCCATCAGCATCACCATCATCATCATCATCAGCAGCATGATCGTCGTCACTGTCATATTTCTCCGATCGTCCTCCAACTCACCATTATCCTGATGACCCTACTGATCCTCCGACTTCACATCCGCATGTTCCTTATCCTTCCAACTCCCCCTCACTTCCTCCCAATGATTTTCTCTGTCGCCTCCCCGGATAAATCTAAAGGTCCCTGGAAGGTTCCAAACGTCCTTGGAAGACTCAGGATGTACCAGAACAAAATAATATGTCTTCCTCCTTTTTCGGTTTCGCGTGCTCTCCCCCCTCCTCCTCGTCCCCCTCCTCCTCGTCCCCCTCTTCCTCCTCCTCCTCCTCCTCCTTCTTCTCCTCCTCCTCCTTCTCCTCCTCCTCCTCGTCCCCCTCTTTGTCCTTCTCCTCCTCCTCCTTCTGATCCGACTCAAATCCGTTCAAAACGAATCCTCAGACCCCTCCCAGGGCTCATCCCCGCCAGCTTGTTACCCTGGACTCAGGCCACTTGGGCGCAATTTCGCAGCCCACGCCCAAGCGCTGGACCGGAATTAGTGCTGATTTGAGCGCCACCAGCAGCAATTCTGGCCTGTTGCAGCCTGTCGTGAAGTTCAGGAAAAATTGCGTCGCATTCTTAATCGGGCGCTTGCATGCTCATATCGGTACTTCTCACACGGTGGTCACCGTTAAGCTCTTCGAGAAGCTGACCGCGATCGGCTGGGATTTGGATGTCCACGTCCTTGCCATAAGCGACGAGCAGGCCAGCAAAATCCTCGGCAACCAGGCTGCAGGGAACCGCGCCCATCCTCGTGTGGACGTCTTCGAGGATTGCGTAAGATGGTCGGGCCGCCCCAACCTCCTTGGCCCCACGGCGCTGGTCAAGCAGAAGTGAAGGGGCCCTGGGACACACAAATAAATACACACAAATAAACCGATTCCCCATATTTTCCCATATTTTCTGGGTTCTTGTCTTCCCCACCACTTCCCATATTTCCCCATATTTTCCAGGAAATCGAAAATTAATTGTGTCTGTGTGTTCCTTTCCCTCCTGAAGAAGAGAAGGAACACACAAGAATCAGAAGAACAAAGAAGGTGAGTTCTCCAGGCGCCAGGTGAAGCGTGCGATCAAGAAGGAGCACGGAGGCGGGCGCCCCTGCTCCGACCCCTCCCCCGCCAGGAGCCCTCAGCAGCACGGACCCGCACAACCAGAGGGGTACTGCTGCGCTGGCTCTTGGGCCGGATCCTCCGAGCTGGAGCACGCTGCCCTCGCCTCCGCCCCCGCCTCGGGCGTCAAGAACCGCGAGGACGCTTCCGAGGAATTGCCGCCCCCTCCCGAGCCACCCAGGGCAGTGAAGTGAAGCTCTCTCACCGGACGCCCCTCACCGAGGCCGAGGTCATGGAGAACAGGAGATTCAGAAACAAAAGAAGCAATCAAACGCACAGGAGAAGAAGGATGCAGCCCATAGTTTCGAACGAGACCCGACCGCCGCTGAGCAAGAGAAAGTCGGCCCAGAGAGGGAGAAGGTGGCGACTTCCCAATCGAGGGCGATGGGCGGCGATGGAGTCCGTGCAGACCCGGCGAAGGTGTGGGGAAATCCGCCGACCCCTTGGGGATCATCGGCGTGTGAGATGCTTCCCCCTCCCCAAACCCCTCCCCCGGGAGCCCGGTCCGGTCGATTTGGAGGGGGGGGGGGGGTCCGGGACGAGCGGTTCAGGGGGGGGGGGGTCCGGGACGAGCGCTCCACGGGGCTTTTCCTGGCCCAAGAGGGCTTCAAGACGGGCCACGAAGCCCCCAAGAGGCCTCCAAGACGGCCCACGAAGGCTCCGAGAAGCCAAACGACCGCTCCAAGACGCCCACGATGGCCCCAAGACGGGCCAAGAGGTCTCCAAGACGGCCCCTGAGGTCCCAAATGAGCCTCCCAAGAGGGCCCAAAGAGTCAAAAATTGATGATTTTCCAGTGTTTTTCGATGTTTTTTGCTTTTCCGCCTTTTCGGCTTCCCGACGCTCCAAGACGGGCAAAGAGGCCCCAAAGATAGCCCCAAGATGGCCCAAGAGGCCCCCAAGACGGCCTCCAGACGGCCCAAGACGGCCCCAAGACGGCCCAAGAGGTCCCCAAGACGGCCCAAGAGGGCCGATTTGGAGGGGGTGAGAAGGCCGGGACGAGCGCAGCACGGCCGGGACGAGCGGTTCCAGGGCTTTTCCGGGCCCAAGAGGGCCTCAAGACGGGCCAAGAAGGCTCCAAGAGGCCTCCAAGACGGCCCACGAAGGCTCCGAGACGCCAAACGACGCCTCCAAGACGCCCAAGATGGCCCCAAGACGGGCCAAGAGGTCTCCAAGGCGGCCCCCGAGGTCCCATACAAGTCTCCCAAGAAGGCCCCAAGAGTCTAAAATTGTTGATTTTCCATAGTGTTCTTCGACGTTTTTTGCTTTTCCGCCTTTCCGGCTTCCCAACGCTCCAAGACGCGCGACGAGGCCCCAAAGATAGCCCCAAGATGGCCCAAGAGGCCCCCAAGACGGCCTCCAGACGGCCCAGGACGGCCCCAAGACGGCCCAAGAGGTCCTCAAGACGGCCCAAGAGGGCCGATTTGGAGGCGGGGAGGGGGCCAGGACGAGCGCAGCACGGCCGGGACGAGCGGTTCCAGGGCTTTTCCGGGCCCAAGAGGGCCTCAAGACGGGCCAAGAAGCCCTCAAGAGGCCTCCAAGACGGCCCACGAAGGCTCCGAGACGCCAAACGACCCCTCCAAGACGCCCAAGATGGCCCCAAGACGGGCCAAGAGGTCTCCAAGACGGCCCCCGAGGTCCCAAATGAGCCTCCCAAGAGGGCCCCAAGAGTCTAAAATTGTTGATTTTCCATAGTGTTTTTCGATGTGTTTTGCTTTTCCGCCTTTTCGGCTTCCCGACGCTCCAAGACGGCCAAAGAGGCCCCAAAGACAGCCCCAAGATGGCCCAAGAGGCCCCCAAGACGGCCTCCAGACGGCCCAAGACGGCCCCAACACGGCCCAAGAGGTCCCCAAGACGGCCCAAGAGGGCTCCAAGACGGCACCACGAGGGGCCCAAGAGGGCGACCAAACATGTTGAAACTCTAGCTTTCTGCCCCCAGGAGCCCCAGGGGGCCCCAAGAGTGCCCCAAGAGGCCCCCAGAGGCCCTCACGAGGCCGCCCAGACGCCCCAAGGAACCCCCAAGAAGCACCCCAGAGGCTCCGAAACGGCCCCCGAGTGGCTCCAAAACTCGCAGTGTCGCTGTCCGCTCGGACCTCCCCGCGGAACTGACCGAGACCCTCTGGCGGTGGCGGCGAACAGACACCAAACAAATATCACTCGCATTTTCACCCCTTCGCAGCTTCTACTACCCCCAGATTGGCATAAACAAGGGGTCGGCGGTGTGGCGTAAGCCTAAGAATCAAAAGGTGCGAATACCGCTGCACCCCAAGACCTCTCCTGGGGCGCGCTCTGACCAGGAATCCGAGGCGAATCCGGCGGAGACGACGAGGGCTTCCCAGGAAGCCCACGAAGGCGAAAACGAGGCGAGCGCAGTGGTGCCGGTACCTTTTCCTCCCCCGAGACTGGGGCCAGGAGTGGAGCGGAGCGCCGCCTACGCCTCCGGAGCGCGGGCGCGGTGCACGGTTTCCCCCGGGGCCGCAGGCGACCCGAGGAAGAGGAGGAGGAGGAGGAGGAGGAGGAGGAGGAGGAGGAGGAGGAGGAGGAGGAGAAGGAGGAGGAGGAGGAGGAGGAGGAGGAGGAGGAGGGAGGCGGAGGAATCGGAGCGGATCGGAACCCCTTGCGCGGGCCCGCGCCTGGACCCCATCAGAGGGGGCGCAGCGCGCGACGCCACGGCCTCGCGGGCAGAAGCACGCGCGCCGGGCGCCCACCCAGGGAGGCGCGCGGTTGACAACATCCGGGGCGCACCGGGACATGCTGGTGCGAGGTGTCCCTGGAGGCGCGCGCGTCCGACCCGAGCAGACAGTAGAACCACGTTGTGAGGTATCGCTTCCCGAGCGGCATGGCCAGAAAGCGCCCGCCACGGAGCACGTACGATAAGAAATCTCAGCGCGCGCGCGCCGCCCCCTCGGGGGCGACGCAGACGTAGCATCAGTATGTTGGGGTGGCGCCGAGCTTTGACTCGCAACTGCTCCCCATGGCCGCCACCTCCCAGCAAGCTTCCCCACAGCACCGCGTGGGGCCGGACGGCGACACACAACATGCACGACCTTCTTTGCTCGAGCACGCGCGGGCCGATGCGCGGCCCTGGCCGTCGCGCGAGGGCGCCTCTCAGAACGAGTCCAGCTCCCGCTCCGCTGTCGTGGCGGTTGTAGCCTCAGGTCGGGCATGCCCTCCTACAGGCGGACGTTGGAAGAAAACCAAACGTAGCCCCAAACATACCTCAAGATTCAAAACAGTGCAAAATAATAGACCCATCGTCCCCAGACTATATTGTTTGACAGTTGTCATTGTGGAACATTCCCCCTGTAGAGGGACGTGCCCGACTCCATTGTAGCCACGCGGTGTCGTTGGGGTCGTGGTGTGCCCGCGCGCCGGGGGCACCCAGCGATTGTTGCGAGGACGGCCCACGCCCCACGCTTCGCGTGCGGTGCGCGGGCGGGCGGCTGCGCATCAGGCCTTTGGCAGCAAGCGACTGCCTACCAGACCACCCCAACCCAACCCAAGGACCCGAACTTGAGGGTACGGGCCCCGTGCGTTTCTTCCATGCTCCCCGACCCCCCCTCCCCCACGCTGGAAACGGGGGGCACATCGAAGCCTTCGGGTTGTCGGGCTGGGGTGGTTTTTGTGGGTGGTGAGCCAGGCCTCTGAGGCCCCTGACGCCCGCGACTCCGCAGCGGAACTTCCTGCAGCGACGGCCCCCACGCGCGCCTCACCCCGTGCCCCCGCCCGCTTCCGGCCGGCGCTCGCGACCGCCTCGGCCACGGCGCTGCCGAAGGCCTGCCGGAGCACGGCGTGCTCTGAGCAGCACCGAGCCGGGCCAGCGGGGTCGCCCGGGCCCACGAGAGGGCCCCCGGGGGAGCGCCTCGGAGAGCCCCGCCCCGCCCGAGGCGCCGTGGTTTGCGCGCGTGCACTGCGCCCTGGCCGCGCCCAGCCCGAGACCGGCAGCGGCATGCAAGCACGCCGCGCCCTCCTGGCCTGGCCAGGGTAGGCCCCCCCATGTGGGAGCTGCCCCAGTCGGCTCCACCCTGCCCGTGCCTCCTCCCCGCCTGCGGGTGCCGTGGCCGTGGTCGGTGGTGCTGCGTCTCGTGGAGACCAGCGGACAGGGCAGCCCAGCAGGCTTCCTCACCAGGGGGTACATTTTCAGGACGGATGGGTGTGCGAGGCATGCCGCGCTCGAGCCGCGCTCGTGCCCTCACCCGGGCCACCAACGCCCAGCGAGGTCAGGAGAAGTGCCCTGGCGACAGCAGGGCCCTCCCCAAACTCTCCCAAGACGGCAAGCGCCACAACATCTACGCGTTCCCGAGGCTCCGTACTAAGAGCTGATTGCTCGCTTGCTGGGACTGCGGCGCGTTTTCAGAATACGTGGCCCGACGTTTCCAGAAGCCTTGCTCCCGCGCCCCTCCCAGTAGCAACAAAGTAGTGGCCCTGGCCTGTCTCAGAGAGAAACGACATCCCAAACTCATGAAATCCAACAGTGTTGAATTCGAGAACCCAGTCACCCTCCCAATGTTAATTCGGGCTGCGCAGCAGGCGCTGGAGGATTGACAGCGGCAGCAGTCCCGAATCATATGCTGCCGCCAGCGCCCCCTAGGCGCCACCAAACCCAGACACACAGTCAGATGCGATGGTCCCCCTCCCACTCCCCCCTCCCCCACCCTCCTCCCATACCCCCCCGTCCGCCCGCTCCTCCCACCTCCCCTTCCTTTTCCCTCCCCCCCTCCCCTCCCCCCCGCCCCCGAAGAAGGATAATTTCGTTAACATCAATGTTCTGTACTGTTCACCACCTCCCAGAGGTATTCCGTGACATCTTCATCTTGCCGTTGCAGACTGTGTGTCGCCCAGAACCAAAAGTTGCCTGGAGAAGGAAAGACAAACAAAAAAAACAAACAAAAGAACAAAAAAAACACCCCTCTCTGACCCCCCCCCGCCCTCCCTACCCCCCCAAGGGCCGACCGGGGATCGCGCGAGCCCACGTCGCCGAGCGGCGCAGCCGACGCGCCGAGGACCAGCAGCGCCGCCGCCGCGCCCGCGCCCGCGGCGGCGAGGAGCCTGCTTCGGGGGTAGGCCCCCTCTGGGAGCGGAGAGGGGAGCGAATTGGCCCGACGAGGGACCCAACTTTATTAGGCGGCGGGCGAGGGGGGTAAATGAGAAGGAGAAGGCCTTCTTAGAAGGCGGCGGGCTTCCCAGAAGCCCTCGCGCCTTCTGAGAAGTTGTTTCTATCTTCGGGGAAGGCTCGGGAAACTTCTCAGACGGCCGCGGAACTTCCGCGACTTCTGAGAAGGCCCGCTCCTTCTCAATTCCCCCCCTCGCTCGCCGCCGATTTATGGAGCTGCGAGTATCGCGAGGCAGGTGAGATGAAGGATGGGAGGCCAGCAACAGGACCTCGGCGTGGACGAGGGGGAGAAAAGGATGCTCAGATTACTAGGATTAGTGCTACACGTGTCCCATAGGGTGCTTGCTAGAGCACGTCTCAGAGTGTGCGCGTGTAAGGTGACGTACGTGTCCCAATGGGTGCGTGCGAAGCACGTCCCAGAAGGTGCGCGTACTACACGTGTCCTAGTGGGTGCGTGGGAAACCACGTCCCAGAGGGTGCGCGTGTATGGCATGTGCGAAGGACGTGACTACTAGCTAGAGGGCTCACATCTCTAAAGCTCCCGCCTGAGACTTCCTCACGGCCTTCGGAGGAGCTCCCTATGGGGCCACGCACTGTGTGAGGGATGAGCCAAATAAGCGTCCGACGCATGCGGACCTTGCCACTGGGGCCTTCGGTGGAGCTCCTATGGGAACACGAACCGTGTGAGGTGTGTGCCAAATTGGGCGTCGGGCGCATGCGGGCCATGCCACTGGGGCGTTCGGTGGAGCTCCCTGTGGGGCCATCTTTAACGAATGCGCGCGGCACTAAGGCGAGAGCAATATTTTGGAAGCGGCCCGCCCTCCATCTGTGAAACTGTTGCCCTTTTTTAAGCTGCAGGATCATCAATGGTGGGGAAAACTCAGACGAAACGCCTGGTTTGCCCTTCCGACTGGCCTCGGGGCGTGACAGGGACGAATCATTTAAAGGACGAAGAACGGAGAAGGGAGCAGAAGCCGGAGGAGGGAAGAGGCAGGAGGAGGAAGGAAGGAAAGGAGGGGGTGAGGCAAGCTAGGTCCACTCGCGTCATCTGACGTTTTACCCCTCTGTCCCATCCCTTACCATGTCGTAGATCCCTTTTCTATTCGCACAATCGAATGTCGCAGCATGGCATAGCATTACATGGCATAGCATGGTGTTGAAGATCCACGCATAGCATGACTTAGCATGGCGTGGCGACGTCCCCATGTGGGGGGGGCTTCTGCGGCCCCAAAAATCAACGAATCGACACCGAATGTGTAATCACTTTCAATGGCTTCTTCGGGAGGCCATTTTCCAAAGTTTGGGGCCTATTTGGAAAGACCGAAACCATGCCGTGGCATGGGGCTGGAAAGAATGACGCCACCACTGCAGCGGGAGCACGATTCGGAACGAGCGGAAGCGCGGAAATGAGGTCAGCGCTGCAGCGGGAGCACGATTCGGAGGACGCGGAGCCTGACATAGCATGGCGTGGCGACGCCCCAAAGTGGGGGGGCTTCTGCGACCCAAGAAATCGACGAATCGGCACCGAATGTGTGATCACTTCCGATAGTTTTTCCGGGGGGCTTTTTCTAGATTTTGGAGCCTATTTGGAAGGACCGAAAACCATGCCGTGGCATGGCGCTGGAAATGATGACTCCAGCGCTGCAGCGGGAGCACGATTCGGAACAAGCGGAAGCGGGGAAATGAGGCCAGCGCTGCAGCGGGAGCACGATTCGGAACGAGCGGTGGCCCGAAAATGAAACCTGCGCCTCAGCGAGAGCAGCATTTTGAAGAAAAAAACCCGCGAAAACCCGTTTCCCGGGAATCCTGTGTAAAAAACAAATCGCGGAGGGGGGCCGGCCATTTCCCGGACGTCATCAGGGGAGAGAGGAGAGTAGTATTCAGATTGTGTAATTGTAAAAGGCGGGAGGGAGGAGCGACCCCCAGGACGACCCCCTGCTGGCTGCACCCGAGGAGACCACCACGAGAACTTCTCGCCCGCGCTGGGGAAACCGAGAAGTATCGATACCGCTGATCCCTGGACCTCTCCCGCGGCGCCTTCTGACCAGGAGTTCGAAGCGAATCGCTTCCCTGGAGGCCGACAAACGGGAAAACGGGCGAAGGGTAGCAGTATCGGTATACCTTGCCCTTCTCGCCCAGAGACCCCGCCGCCGCCGCCGCCGTCGTCGTCGTCGTCGTCGCTGTCGCCGCCGTCGTCGTCGTCGTCGTCGTCGTCGCTGTCGCCGCCGTCGTCGCCGCCGCCGTCGCAGAAGTCGTCGTCGTCGTCGTCGCCGTCATCGTCGTCGTCGCCGTCGTCCGCGCGGGGCCTCAGCGCCGAGCGGCCGCCTCTGTGCGCCGGGGGCACGGGCCCCAGCAGCGCCTGCTCGTCCGAGCCCGCCTCGGGGTCGCACCGGCCTGCAGCGCCTCGGGCCGCCGCCCCGCCGGCCATGGCCTCGCGCCGAGCGCCGAGAAGAAGGAGGAGGGGGAGGAGGAGGAGGAGGAGGAGGAGGAGGAGGAGGAGGAGAGAGAGGAGGAGGAGGAGGAGAGGAGGAGGAGGAGGAGGAGGGCCGTTTGCGGGAACTCTGTCCCCCGCACTTGCCCCCTGGGCGCCGCGCCAGGCCGCGCGCGCGCCTTCGGGGGGCCGGCCTCAGCGCGCCAGCTGGCATGGGCGGCGCGCATCAAACGAGAAGGTGAACGTCTGGGAGAGGGTGATCACCCACCAGTTGTCGAACTGCAAGCTGGACATCTACATCATCGGCTACGAGCCCTACTGCCCACCTCGGTGGAGATCCTCTGGCAGGAGCACGAGCAGACGCAGCTCTCAAGAGAACGGGCTACCTCGTCCGACACGGGCTACAACCACACCTCAACGACAGCATGACCATCGCTACGACTGCCTTCATGATGGCCTGCACTACAGGACGGGACGAGCTGCGAAACATGCATCGCGAGGACGAGCTGCGTGACCGGCAGCCCAAGTGCGACAACGAGCTGCGTAGCAGGCAGCCAAGGACGACCACCACCAGTACGCCACCAAGCACGCCACCAAGAGCGGCACCAGGAACGACACGACCGAGCAGACCGAAGGGGTTACTAAGTACGTTGTCGTGGAAGTGCCAGTGGACAACGGCCGCGCCGCCTACAACGAGTACGACTGCTGCCGCGCCGCATACTACCAATACGACTACGGCAGCTTTTTCAATAATTAACGACCTGTGCTACTACGACCCCCACGACTATTCCGGCCGCCAGGACGCGGAACACTTCGATTTGGCAGCCGACGACTCTCATCCGGACCTCGGGGACTACGAAGAGACAATCCCTTCTGCGCTACAAGAGCCACCAGCAGAGCTACCAGGGCAACCAGACGACCTTCGGAGACCACAAGCTGAACTACGAGGACCTCAAGCCGAGCCACGAGAGACACCTGGAGAGGTGCCAGGGCCACCTGCTAAGCTACAAGAATCACAATAACCACAAGCAGAGCTACAAAGACAACCAGCTGAGCTACGATAGACCGCGCTCGTGGGGCCCGACAGACTAGAAGGGGGGCCCCAGCTTGAAGCTACCCCCCTCCCCCCTTCCTTGCTAAAGGGAGGGGGCTTCGGAAGCCCCCCCCCCCTTTCCTCCCTTTTCGTAGTCCGGAAATGGGGGGGGGCTTCCAAGCTACCCCCCCCCCCTCACTTTAATTGAGCCGGGGTGAGCCATACCCCCCCCTTTGAAAGGGGGGGGGGGGGCTTCGGAAGCTACCCCCCCCCTCCCCCTCTTTTCGTGGCCGCAAAAGGGGGGGGGGGCTTCCAAGCTACCCCCCCCCCTCCCTCCTTTTAATGGAGCTGGGGTGAGCCGGTGAGCCACCCCCTCCCTTTAAAAAGGGGGGGGGCTTTGGAAGCTCCCCCCCCTCCCTCCCTTGGTGCAAAAGGGGGGGGGGCTTGAAGCTCCCCCCCCCCTCCTCTTTGGCTCGTGTGGGGGACGTTTTTCATTTGAGTCGTTTCTTGGCGCTCCCGGGGCTCGCTGAGGGCGTCTGGAGGCCGAACATATCCAAAAGTTTCCGCGTTGATTTTTTTGCAAGACGTCGGAGGTCTGGGTCCCGGCCTGGCCCGTCCCGGCCGATCTCTCCTCTCCTGGGGCCGGAGGCAGAAAATCTCCAAACCCTTCCGGCTTAATTTTTTCAAGACGTTGGAGGTCTGGGTCCCGGGGCCCGCCCCGGCCGACCTCCGGGAGGGGGAGGGGAGGTCTCCCGGAGGCTTCCCCTCAGGAGGAGGAGGCCTCCTAGAGGTTTGTAGGGGACCTCCTTAGGGAGACCCCTGTGCGATCTCTCCCCTCCGGCGGGGCCGGCCTCCAGAGCGGCCCCGGGGGCTGCCCGGGGAGCGGGCTTCGGAGGCCGGGGCGCGGCGGAGGGGCTTCCCCTTAGGCCTCGGGCCCCGAGCCCCGAGCCAGGCAGGCGACCTCGAGCCTCGAGCTTCCCCGAATTTTTATCCTCGTTCCTCGACCCTGGCTCGGGGGAAGGAGAAGCGACACCAACACCACCAGGGAGGCTACCTCCAGCGAGGGGGTCCACGATGCCTCCCCGAGCTGGGGATCAGGGATGTCCCGAGCCAAAGGGGGGACCAACACCACCAGAGGGAGGCCGCCCGGCTCCCCGCGCTGATGGTCCCTGGTGGTGTTGGTCTCGCCTTTCATCGTTCCTACGTGGAATCTCGATCTCAGACCCCCTCCAGTATCAATTTTTTCTGGAGGCTCCGGGGGCTGGGCGGCCAAAGGGGGGAAGTGCGGGGGGCTTCCAAGCCCCCCCCCCCTTTGGCACAAAGGGGGGGAGGGGGGGGGGAGCTTCCAGCAGGGCGGCTCCAAGGGAGGGGGGGTAGCTTAAGCACCCCCCTCCCTTTGGAAAGGGGGGTAGGGGGGCGTAGCTTCCGGGGCGGCCAAAGGAGGGGAGGGGGTGGGTAGCTTCCAAGCACCCCGCCCTTTGCACGAAAGGGGGGAGGGGGGGGTAGCTTCCGGCAGGGCGGCGCCAAGGGAGGGGGGGGTAGCTTAAGCACCCCCCCCCCCTTTGAAAAGGGGGGAAGGGGGGGTAGCTTCCGGGGAGGGCCCAAGGGGGGAGGGGGGGAGCTGTAAGCTCCCCCCCCCCTTGCAAAAAAAGGGGGGGGGGAGGGGAGGGGTGCTTCCAACAAGGGCGGCTCAAGGGAGGGGGGGGTAGCTTAAGCCTAGCCCCCCCTCCCCTTTGCTCGGGCCCTGTGGGCAGGCCGAACTACCAGGACCACCAGCAGGGCTACAAGGACCACAGCCTGAGCTACGGGCACCACTGACAGAGCTTCCTGGGCCACCTGCTGAGCTGCCAGAGCTTCCAACAGACCTACGAAGGCCACCAGGTGAGTTACGAGGACCACGAGCAAAGCACGACTACGAGGGCCGCCAGCACGACTACGAGGACCTCCAGCTGAGCCACGAGAGGCACCAGGAGAGATACCAGGGCCACCTGCTGAGCTACAAGAGCCACCAGCAGAGCTACAAGGGCAGCTCGCTCAACTGCGAGGGCCTCAGGCTGAACTACGAGGGCCACAACACGGGCCGCGAGGACCACAGCCTGAGCTACCTGAGCCACCAGCAGAACTATCTGGGCCACCCGCTGAGCTACCAGAACCACCAACTACGAATGCCACCAGCTGAATTGTGAGGACCACAGGCTGAATTACGAGGACCACAAGGAAGGAAACAACGACCACCTGCTGAGCTACAAGAGCCACCCGCAGAACTACACTGGAAACAGGCTGAGCTACAAGGACTACAGGCTGCACTACGAGGACCGCACGCAGGACTAGGAGAACCACAACCTGCCCTGCGGGAACCAGTGGCAGAGCTACCTGGGCCACCTGCTGAGCTACCAGAGCTCCCAACAGACCTACGAGGGCCACCAGCTCAACCACGAGGACCACAAGCACAATTTCGATGGGCTTCAGCCTGAGCTACGAGGGCAACCAGCTGAGCTACGACGGCAACCAGCTGGGCCACCTGAGCTGCGACGGCCACGAGCTGAGCTACGAGAACCACAAGAAGAAAGACTAGAGTCTCCTGAAGAGCTACCAGGGCGACAAGCTGAGCTGGCAGGACCTGGAGCAGAAGTTCGTGAACCACACCAGTTCAGCTTCGATGACCATCCGTGCAGCGACGAGGGCCACAACCTGAACCGCGTGGACCGCAAGCAGAACCACGAGAGCAGCCTGCTGAGCTACCAGGGCAACGAGCTGACTGAGCTGCCAACCTGCTGAGCCACAAGCTGCGCTACGAGGGCTGCGGGCAGAGCTACGAGACTTACTGGAGGGTCTACCAGGAGCGCCCTGCTATTCTACAAGACCCCGGCAGCAGAGCCGCCAGGGCCACCGGCTGAGCTGCAAGCCCCACGCGCTCACCTGCGGGAGCCACCTGCAGGGCTGCGGGGACCACCAGCGCCAGCCTCTGCACTACGACTGCGAAGGCCACGTGACGAGCAGCAGGGCCCATGGAAGACCTGGACTACCAGAAAGCCGATCGCCATCGGAGACGCAGTGCAGGGCAGGCTCGGCAAGACGTGCTACGATTGCGTCGTGGAGAAGCCACGCGATACGTCAGCCACAGCCCGCTGACTGGATGGCACTACGTGCCGGCTCCAGCGCGCGGCACTCTGTAGACCGCAATAGCTACGGCAAGAACGGCCCGCCTGAAGCCGAATAGAGTACGAACTACGCCGCTATGGGCAAGGGCACACAGACACATCTCCGCGCACAGGGCACTACGTCTACTCCAATCTAGCGCTGAGCTGCTGCATCATTTGAGCGACTCGGCCGCTCCATCCACCTCCTTCTCTTCCCCGCTGGGCCTGGGAGGAGGAGGAGGAGGAGGTGGGGAGGAGGAGGAGGAGGAGGAGGAGAAGGAGGAGGAGGGAGAGGGGGAGGAGGAGGAGGAGGAGGAGGAGGGAGGAGGAGGAGGGGAGGAGGAGGAGGAGGAGGAGGAGGAGGAGGAGGAGGAGGAGGAGGAGGAGGAGGGGGAGAGGAGAAGGGAAATCAGGGAGATCAGAAAATGCTCCGAAAAGCCGATGTGCCGCGGGCTGACGCTGGGTCCCGGTGGACACCAGATCCAAAGCGGGTCTAGTGCCGGGGCCGCCGAATGCAGGAGGAGGAGGAGGAGGAGAGGGAAACTGCGGAGCTTGCATCCAGAGTGTGCGCAGCAGCAGGGGGCGGAAGAAGAGGGAGGCGGAGGAAAAAGAGGAGGGAAGAGGAGGATTGTACAGACGCGGCGATCTCTTCGATCAACTTCGGTGCAACGCAAAACGAGGACGAGGAGGAGGAGGAGGAGGAGAAGGAGGAGGAGGAGGAGAGAGGATAGAGAGGAGGAAGGAGGAGTAAGGAGGAGAGAGGTGGAGGAGGGTGCGGAACGACAAGGGGAAGCAGGGGAGAGAGGAGAAGGGGGAGGGGGAGGAGACAAGCTAGGTGCGCTCGCGTCATATCTGACGTCCTACCCCTCCCTCCCATCCCTTACCATGGCGTAGATATCCTCTCTATTCGCACAGTCGGATGTCGAGCAGGGCAATGATCCCGAGAAGGTGCGCGATGCATCGTAGAGCAGGGCATAGCAGGGCGCAGAAGAGCACGGCAGAGCATAGTATGTCATAGCATGGCGTGGCGTTGCGTAGTGAAGAATCGCATCATAAAGCATTGAAACGCAAATAATGACGCCATCGCTGCAGCGGGGGCACGATTCGGAACGAGCTGAAGC